AGCTCGTGTTGCAAAAACTCGCCGCAGGTGTCGGGCCCACTGGTTTCGAGCGAAAATTCGTCTGTGTGTCTGACGAAAAAATCAAGTTACCGAAATTGCTGCGGCCGGCCACTACTTGTCCCACGCGTGCGCGTGATCACCCTGAAAAAGCCCCGCATTTGAAGAAAAAAAAGTTTTCAAGGTCACGAGGCGCGGTAGTTTCTTTGTCCTGCCACCCCTCCCTGCTTAGCTTTCAGCGCTTTCGTCGGGACGAGAGAAGAGAGAATGCAGTTGCAGCATGCGATAAACCTTTGTAACAACACTTGCAATAGACGTATTCTTAAATTTCTTTTCAGCGTTGAATTCGTGAAGCAATAAGCTCTTTTAGTGGAGTTATTGAATTGCTACCTTAAAAGTATCAGGGCCCCTTTAACGCTTTTCGTTCGATAGGTGTCACGACAAAAACGAGCCAATTGGGCGATAATAGCGCGCGCTGGTCCAATCTACTCTGTGCGTGTATGTGTGAGTGGCTGTGTGTGTGTAAAACATATGAATAAGTGTGGACTTAGTGGTTGAGGGGTGCACTAAAGGCCGGATTTCACTCTCGCCTTCAGTTCTTGAAGGCGAATCTTAAGGGTCCCCCATTTTTTTTATCTCTGGTGTTTCAAATGCTTTAACCCCTTTCACTTTTGTGTGTGCGTTACATCTCTTACTCCTCTGAGTTCTCTCTCTGCCTTTTTCAAGTGGCTTTGTATTTAAAATTTTATTGGGACATAGTTTTGGACAATGTACCTTGTGGGAATACGCCAATATCTTTTAAGCGACAAAAAAGTATGCAAAAGGCTTTACAGATGTTTATAGAATATGTCGTTATCCAAAGAAATACAAACATTGACATAGGGGTGCTTTGAAAACTTGGGATTCGTTAACAGGTGGTCAAGTATTGATTTTTAGTTGATACCTCAGAGAAAAGCCTTAACTTCACATAGTTGGCCTTGCCGAAAGACCAACCAGCATTTATAATTGGCGGAAGGAAGTGTTTCAGTCGTCGGTGACTTTGCCCCTGTTCGTTAGATTCCCGAAATTTCTCTCCTTTTTAACACGAACGTGTTTTATGCCGGGTCCATAGAAATTCCTAAAATTGATTGGACAGCGATCCTTCAAAGTTAAATAGACTGCGGCGCTGCGATCTTTCACTGAGCAAGGGAATGTCAAGTAGTATATAGATTTTCCTAGGCTTCGTACTTGCGGGCTTCCAATTGCACTTATTGCTTTTTTTATGGCTGCGTTTCAATTTTGAGTAAAATAAAAGAAAAATCGTCTTGAACTTTGTTACAAGGTTTGAACTGGTGAGCTTGAAAAATTTGGGTAGCAAAGCGTAACGAATTAAATACTGCTGATCGTTGTTTTGCGACATAACAGCTTGAAGGCATGCAAATCCAAATGCAACGTAAAGTAGGGAGATTAGGCAAATCCACGTACTACCCATAAACCCCATGCTTGCTGGAGCATCATGTGTTGCAGCTCCTTTCAACACTGGCGCGAGAGTTCGCTCTGGTATATATATATGCCGGGGTTCACCACGAATCTGTGACGTATTTCCTTCACGGATATGACGTTGTGGAAGAGGTATTTAAAGATATAAAAAACGAGAACAAACAATTCCACAACAGGACGTCGAATAAGCGACATCATGCTTCACAGCGCGCGACACTAACCACTAAGCTACTGACTGACCCCACTCTGATATGTGAACGGCGAGCTATTTATATACACCAGATACTGCTGGCTGTCTTTCGAGCTCGACGCTTCAGCAAGCTTCCGTCATTGTTAGGGAGCTGGCATGACGAGCGCGCGTCGTGGGTGCGTGCTCTCAAGGTGGTTGTGCCGTGCCACGCCGCACGTGGATGTGCCCGCGTCTCTCCACATGGCGTGGTCAAAGTGCGTATGAATTATATCTTGCATGGTGACTTCATCGAGCGCGTGCTTATCTAGGGATTCGGGTGCTCTGTACCTCTTCTGCTTCCCCCGTAAGCATGCTTTGAAATTGCAGAGTTGAAGCCAGCATGAAAGGAGCACGCTGCCCAAACACGAAGAAGTAAAAATGGTGACCCGTGTTTGTGTTCATCCAGCTGTATGAATTTATGTTCGTCTCGTACGCCTTTCTTTCTGCTTGAGCAGCGTGCTTTGAGTATAGCTTGTATTAGCGCAGTTCATAAAAGAAAGGGACACTACACAGACGTAGAGATAGGCAGGCGCAATAGGTTAGCGCCTACCTATCTCTACGTCTTTGTCGTGTCCCTTTTTTTTAGGTACTGCGCTAATACAAGCTACGTTCATGGATGACCAACTCGCCCGATCAGCAACCCATCTGAACTTCAGTGCTTTGAGTGTCGAGCTGTAACAGCTGTTTGTCCGCCCTCGTCCAGTGAATATGCTCCTTTCGTGGGTGCTTTCTGCTTGAAGTGTGCGCTGCGAGTTTCGAGCTGCAGTCACTTTTAGCGCGACATTGCGATTTGTTACTGCAGTATTCATCCCTTCGCTGTTGTGGCGAAACCATGCACAATGGAAGTTTAACTGACTCTGCGAAGACAGTTTTCACTTGCACTTTATATCGATTCCTAAATGAAGTTACCGAGCGCGTTTATTTTTTCATTGAGTCCTCTGTACTCTCTTAATTTTCCCATGCAATACCTAATGTCTGGCTCCTTCTCAACTACGCAATTGTCCTCCTCACCCTGTCTTGCTTTTCCTACCTTCTCGCTGTGCTATTTTTTGCAACGTTCTGTGGAAATGCCTGGATAGCCGAGTGCTTGCGAAGTTCATCTTCGAATAGTGGTCGTACTGGATCGAAACTCGCCTTGTGATGAACTTTTTCCGCCGAAAAGTTCTCTGTCTTTTTGTTCTCTTTCTTTCCCTCTGTACCAATAGTGTTCCTCAACAGATATATTGTACCCCGTGCTGGAGCAGTGAGCTCATGTGTTTGACAGTGAAGCTAAAAAATTAAGGCAGTAACGATAAAGTAGAGGACGAGCAGGCCAGGCTATTCCCTCAGGGCGTACGTGTGGTGAATCTGTGACATTGGTGGTTGCTGGTATACGCAAAGTGCTGACGGGTTTCTGTTCACAGCAAAACTTCTACGGTGGCCTGAATAATTGATTGATTGATATGTCTGGTTTAACGTCCCGAAACCGCCATATGATTATGAGAGATGCCGTGGAGCAGAGCTCTGAAAATATTGACCACCTTGGATTCTTTACCGTGCGCCCGATTCCGAGCATACGGTTTTTTAGCATTTTCGCCTCCATCGAAAATGCAGACGCTACGGCCGGGATTCCCTCGCACAAAATGAGGGTCAGCAGTTGTGTACTTTACCACTAGACCACCGTGGCGTACGGCGGCCTAAGCAGGTCGTTGATAAAATACACTCTGTTACCCAGCTGCAGCATCCAAAATAAAAAATAAATAAAGAATAAAACACATTGAAGTTTCTTTTCAGTGCTGAGGTTTAAATCTGCGTTTTCGTTACCTGACGGTTGGTGTCCTGCATACGCTGCCACGCATCTCCAAAAATCAGGAACAAGAAATTACGAACACGTTAACTTTCCGAATTAAAGAAATGAGTTCTACCAAGGATGAAAAGAACTGTAATGATCAGCGTTTCAGTGGGCGCTTCATTTAAATGTTTGATGTTGGTGGACTAAAGGTGACTGGCCGGCTGATGCCTAAAGCCACCATGAAAATCGTAAATTTCAGCAAAATTTGATTTTGAAAAATTGCGTTTCTAAGCTGCCTTTCGTTTCTTAGAATAGTCTTCTCGATAGGTCATTTATTTGGTGGATTAATGCTGGGCCCAACATGAAAGACGGCTGCTGATTCCACCCCAAAACAGCCTTCTAATAACACAAGAGCAGACAAAGAGAAACAAAAAGAATGGAAAGGAAAACAGTAGTTAAGGCAAAAACACGCTAAGCATCACTTGCCCACCATTTCTCAATAAGGGGATGTTCTTGAATTTTCGAACCACACATGTCTTGATTTATAAGGGCACGTAGTTAAACTCTATTGCAACGGTTACGCAGTAAAGAATGACTCGATGTGACATTAGGCTTCTTTAAATAGGATGAAATCAATTGAACCATGATTCAAAATATTAGATTATGACAAATGGCAGAGGGTAACAAGCAAGCAATACCCTTTCTTAAGCGTTTAAATAAGAAAATATTCTTTGCCTGGACAGTAAAGTAACATGATTGCTCACTAAAGAAGTGTATACATTCAAAATAACCTGTATACAATAAATTGTGGCATTAATTTCTTTGGAAATATAGGTGGCATGGCATGAAACGCACGTCACAATATTTTTGCGTGATCGTTTGTTTTGGGAGAGAGGGTGCATTGCGGTAAAGCATCAACACAGGCAACCACAGGTATGGAAGGGACCAAAGTCGCTGTTTGAAAAAGCAATGTTAAGGTAATCGTTTTAAGAAGTGCATCAAGGCGCCGAAGAAGGTGAATGTAGACCTAATTGCAGGCAGGGCCTAGAGAGTTGATGAAACGCTCTTCAATCTTGAGACCATATAGGTGTTTATTTTTTCGCTTGCTCTATAACCCGTCATCATAGCTAAAAACTGATCAAGGAATTCCCAGTTTCTGTACTACCCGTCGGTTTGCACATGTCGCCTTGTATGACTCCTATTTTTTATATGGCTCAAATGACGACCAACTATGTGCCGGTTCCTTTAAGATACAAGCTATGATTCCCTTCGAAGCTAGCTTTTGTTCTGATTTCAAAAGTAAGTACTCGGAGTGTTCAGGTGTATGAACGGCATACACCACCTCAAGGTTTTAAGAATTTAAAATCATTGGGTGCGCTCATCTGAACTTTCGCATCAAAATGCCTCCCATAAATAAACGCAGAGAGCATGCAAAAACCTAGATATAACAGCATGCATTGCGATCAGAAGGCAACGTTTTTATTGCTTCAAAAAAGCATAAGAATCAAAGATGTTATGTCTTACCTGAGTCATTTATCGGCTCTGATATAGGTTTCAATGGCGGCCCCTTTTTGCAGAGCATTGGGTTTAAGGTGCGGTTCACGCATAACGTTCCCGGTCCGTTCCAAACTGAAGACATGAAAACGAAAAATGCTTGCAGCTACGCAGTCCTAAAGACTTCCGTTAACGGTATTCCAAAAGGAACTAATCAATCTAGAACCTACTTTGCTTACGTGAATCACGCAAAACAAATTCGTGCACTGGTTTTTCACCAGAAAAAGGTACGTCCAAAGCCTCCTAATATCGGTGTCAAATCCGTTTCAAGAAAATGGGCTGTGCAAAAACTATAGAATGCAGACCACAAGATTTTAATTTTAGTGAAGCTTGTGAAGTTTATTTTAAAGATGGCTAAACCCTCAACATGCAAAGGAAAGTGAAACTCATTTTCACAAAAGCAGTGCTTGTTGTATAGTGATTTGTGACAGCTTGTACAGTATTTATTGGTGTTTGGGAGCTATGCCATCACTTGACGTTGACATACTAATGTCAATGCAGAATGTCATATCTCAATTGGGACGACTAACGCTCGCGATCATGATTTAATTGTTATAGCAGCTGCAGGTGTCCACGTATACGTGGGCACAACGCATTGTTCGTCTCATCTAAACATGACATATACCTAGTCATATGAAACACTAGTACACAATTTGCGCGCATTCATGGTGTCATCAAATAGGGAAGAAGCACACACGGTGTGCGCTCCTGTGTAGTAGAATAACCTGAAGTTCGAGCCCCGGCAAGGGAGGTTTTTTCTCGTTCGGTTACGTTACCTTAATCCACGTCACATGCACGATAGAATAACGTAAGTGTAGGTGAGCTTTGGTATTGATTGCTTTTAACACAAAAGTGTGTAATCCCGGGGTCAACAACCACTCTGCTGACTTACTTCCGTCACGGAAGTGACGTTGAAAAAATATGCAGAGAGATTGCAAAAAAAAACACAAGACAAGAATCTGTCGAGAGGAATCAAACCAGCATCCTCTGGCTTCTCAGCATGCAGCGCTAACGCCCATGCCACAGAGTGTACTTTTTTCCTTTATTGCAAGCTCACAAGAGCGTACATCCAACTACAAGTATAACAGAAACAAGCAGTGAAAGTCTGACTCAAACTGAAATTGCCTAAGTGCTTACAAGGTTTCTATGCTCAACAGCCACTCAGGTATAATTTCCTGAGTTTTCTACAGTTAATATCTCCTGAGTTTTCTGCCATACATTCACGCAAATACATTCGTCCAAACCGTGCACTATGATCGCAATGAAATCTTGCCATACGTGTCCGTAATAAACAGTGAAGGCCACATAGCATAACCAAATCGAAACGCGTCCCCTCTTCATCAACTGTTGGCTGAAATCTTATACCATAAGCATTCAAAGGCAATGCCTTTTTGATCGTTGTTTCAAGTACATCATAGAAGTATATACCTTCACAAGTATTTTAGAAAACAAGTTATATAGTTTCTGGTTTTAAAGACGATAGTCTTTCTTGGGGACCTACTACGCAAAAATTTTGGTCGGTCTGTCTGTATGTATGTATGTATGTATGTATGTATGTATGTATGTATGTATGTATGTATGTATGTATGTATGTATGTATGTATGTATGTATGTATGTATGTATGTATGTATGTATGTATGTATGTATGTACATTTGTCTGTTTGTCCACTCCTAACAGCATCGGTTATTTGAAACGGCCGACCCCATCCGCAGCACCCACCTATGTTGCTCAAGACTCAGCTTTCATACTTGTGCAACGACGATTAAAAAGCAATTATTGCGCGTTTCTGGGGCACCATAACAACACGTATATAATCTGCATGAGTTCCTTTTACTAAAGAAGACATACATAAGTAATTTTAAGGACCGTAGTGCTTATCACGCTGCGCTGACCATCCAACGCTTCCACGGAAAGGCGAGTGTTTTCAACGCTTTGCTAAAACGCAACGGCGGTGCCCCTACCCGTCACCTTGCGTTCTACACCTTATCACCTCTGAGGCGGGGGTGCACACCCGTCTCACACCCACGTGCTTTGTTTTGAAAAAAAAAACTGCTAGGTGGCGCTCATGTCTCACGTGTAACGTGACTTGATGCGCTAGTTCGCCTCCACTGCACGCTCGAGGCACACTAACAGAGCACCTCCAGAATACCACTCACCGATTTTCTTGAGCAAAACATCAAAGAAATGTTTTGTTCACTCTCTCCACACGCAAGACTATCGTATTTTGACGACATTTGCAAAATAAATGCAGATACGCGGCCATTTTTTTCACAGATAATGCAATTCGTTCTCCAAGGTGAATAAAAACCAGTCTGCTTCAAATGTCCTGCCAGATATTGTACCCGTATGAAGCTCGAAAGAGGACTTAGCGGCAGCAGTCACTTGCAATCTTTTCACTCGTTCAAGCACATCTTGCGCTTGACCTGCAGTGTACATGGCGCGGTACAGGGGTTCAGGTAGAACAACATCACACACATCGTTGTACAGCTTTTCGCGAGTCTTTGAAAAACAGTATTCATTGAATATTCTAACAGAAAAAACGGTACAGTTAAAATAACCTCTTGAGATACCTGCAGAACGCACCAGTCATGTCAGTTGTGCTAACCACATATCAAGGTAGAGCCCACATATGGCCCCGCCCCGGTGGTCTAGTGGCTAAGGTACTCGGCTACTGACCCGCAGGTCGCGGAATCAAATCCCGGCTGTGACGGCTGCTATTCCGATGGAGGGAAAAATGTTGTGGGCCCGTGTGCTCAGATTTGAGCGCATGTTAAAGAACCCCAGGTGGCCGAAATTTCCGGAGCCCTCTACTACGGCGTCTCTCATAATTTATAGGTGGTTTTAGGAAGTTAAACCCCACATATCAATCAAGCCCACATATGTCTCACTTGGCACACTGTACGTAAGACAGGATTCCTTGTGTAGCAATAACAAACAGAACATAATTATGACTTGGTGCGTGAAAAGATGTGATAGACCCAGCACCCATGTTTCATTCTTCGAAATAGGTTGTTTCGACTGCATCTCTCCCAGCTCGAAGCCGATGCGAACACTGTGAAGATGCGATGGAGCTTTTGTATGTTAGTTCTTGAACAATCGATACTTGCACCACATACCAAAGTTTTGAGGCAAAGAAAAGATTTCAGACAGTCGTCCTCGAGAACACTAGCAGTTGATCAGCGCCGCTGCGGTGGTCTAGTGGCTAAAGTACTCGGCTGCTGAACCGCAGGTCACGGGATCGAATCCAGGCTGTGGCGGCTGCCTTTCCGATGGAGGCGGAAATGTAGGCACGTGGGCTCAGATTTTGAAGCACTTTAAAGAACCCCAGGTGGTTGCAATTTATGCAGCCCTCCACTACGGCGTCTCTTATAATCTTATGGTAATTTGCTGACGTTAAACCCTACATATCAATCAAATCATCTAACATTTTATTACCATTGCATCTATTGGCTTTTGTACAGATTCCTTTCGCTTGTTATTGCCAGTAGTTTTCATTATATTTAAAATATTCCAGTGAACGCCAAGATATTTGACAGGTGTGTTCACCCACTTAACATTGGCAAAGTAGTCTGGTCTGGACGACCACTGTCCATGCTAGGAGCCGAGACACTTTGTCCAGTTTACTAGACTGCCAGTTACATTGCTGCACATTTAGGGGCGAAGCTCTTTAAAGCGGCACCCGTTCGTCCCTCGTAGTCGTAGTCATAGTGTGTAACAAGTGTTACATTTTGACCTGCAAGGTGCTGCCGGTGGGGATTTTTCCTGTGCTTTTTTGAACAATACAAAGTTCGCCGCGTGCGCGTTAGCTAAAATCAGAATGCTCCTGTGTCTCATTCCCCATTGGCAGCTATTGGCATGTACATTGAGCACTATTGGACAAGACAGGTATAAAAGAATGCGAGATGGTGGTCCTTAGAGTGTTGAATAGATGGACGAACGGACACACAGACAGATGCATGGATAGATGCAAGAATGGACGCAAGGGTGGATGCATGGACGAACGCAGGGACGGACGCACGAACTGACGCACGCACGGACGGCGGATGGACGCATGGACGGACGGAAGCAAGAACGAATAGATGGACGAATGCTTCGCCCCACTTTCCATCATTCACTCCGTGGTTATACTGCCATTTTTTTAACTACAGTGATGGTAGTGGTAACGCTACATTGAGCGGTACAACAAACAGCCACAATGTCGGCATTCGGCAGAATTTTAATTTACGAATATTCTAACCTAAAAGCAATGAATGCTGCTGTTTTGAGTTATTGCTAAGCACACCAATTCTATATGTAAAATGAACAGTAGGGGACTCAGCGGGCAGCCCTGACAGACAGAACACTTTATGTGAATTGTATCTCCTAGCGTCTTTTTGATTACATGTTGGGTCATGCAATTTTAGTGTGCCATAGCTACTCCACCTCAGTTTATGGAACCAACGCTGACATGTTGAAGAATGGCTAGCAGAAGGTTGTGGGAAACAAAATCAAAAGCTTTCTCTTGATCAATCTGTAGAATAGCTACCTCGCCTTGATTGGTATCTCAACAATCAAGCAAACAACGCATCTTGTGTACATTGGTCACGATGGAGCGTCCCATAATCCCGCACGCTTGGTGGGGCCCTACCAATTCTTCGATTATAGCCTGAAGTCGCCGGGATAGTACTTTCTTTAAAATTTTGTAATCAGAATTACTGATACAGGCGTATACGAAGAAACTAATTTTAACTTCACGAACTGTTCCGTCTTAGCTATTCAAACTGTATGTGCTTCACTAAAGGACCCAGCGAGGCCGTCAAGTTTATAAACCTGATCGAAGACGTGTGCGAGTACTTGGGATGATTCATTTTAAACTCCTTATAAAACGAAGCGCAAAGGCTATCCGGCCCAGGAGATTCACCGCAGTTAATTTTATCTATAGACCTTTCTACTTCCGATGGTGATGTAGATAGCTCTAAAGCTGATTTGGTGTCAACAGACAACTTGGCGTTCTGCTAAGAATCTCTCTCTCAAAGCCTCTGCATCAATGGGCGTGGCAGCGAAGAGTACTCCGTAGTGTATACCAAAACACCC